TAATACGAAAGAAAGACACTACTAATATAAGTGATACAATGTAATATCCGGTTGGTTCCCGTTCGATTGAATTTTCAAACCTAACGATCTCGTTTATCCCGGTGTTCACTATCATAAAAAGAGAAGCAGCGAATAACGGGGAAGTATGGGTAGAGCCTTTCCCGCTGTTATGACCATGTTGGACTTTTTATGAGTCCTGGTGTCTTCAGTGGCGCTGATTTAGCTTTGTCTGACGATAAGAATCTTAACTTTTTTCATCCTCTACGTAACCAGTAAGAAGGAGGAAATTCGAGCCACCAGTTGCTCAAGACTATATCCCCCCCACAATGCATTCATTCAGGAATCAAATTACTGAGTGGCATCGAAGAGTTGTTTGAAAATGTCGACAGTTGAGGCTCACTGTGTAAATGTGTTTCAAATGGTTTTAGCCTCCAAAATAAAAAGTCCCCGTGAGGTGGTATTATAAGTGTAATCTCTTTTATAAGCGCAAAGTATATCTCTCCTTTTAATGAGGTGTCAACCTAACCAAGTATCATATACGAGGGCACAATACCTTCGCTTCGATGCTTCGAAATGAAAAGTGTAGTGATAACCATGTTTGAGCATGAGTTTGAAATGACTATTACCTGTGGTAAGAAGAAAAGACTACCACGGTGAAAATAGCCTCAGTCGTCCTTATTCACGTAACCCCAGCAAAGGAAAACCCGTAGGATGAACGATTTGTATAACAATCACGGACTCTACCTTGAACCAAAAATATCTAATCACCAAGAACAGTTTCACCAATGAAAGTACCAATAGGGTTTGGTTTTGTGCTAAAGATTGTACGTGGCTAAAGAAATGTTAAATATCAACCCATAAAATACCTGCGATGGTGTTTAAAAAATCCGTACACAAACCGTGCTCGAGAGCTTACCATTTCAATGACAAAGTTACTTTTTCGAACTTGAATAATCGTTAATGATCGTTATTTTACCTATAACGGGAAACAGAGGAAGTATACATCCGCGAGAGCGTTATTTTAATTTTGGTCGTCTATTTTCCAGCAGGGTTCATTAACGTAAAGCAATAAAACAATTAAATTTTCCATGAGTCATAACAGACATCAAATTAAAACTTCATAAGCACTATATCAATGTCAACATATCATTTCGAGGTGAGTGTGTAATTAAATCAATGAAAAATGAAAGTATATACCCCATAAAGGATCATATCGGACTAGACGGACACCATGTCCACACGTATCCATAGCAAAAGCGGACCATCTTAGAGAATACAAATACCGCATATCAATATGTCCAAAACAAATCATAACAATCCGCAAGTATATGTATAGCAGACATGGACTAAAGTGACTATAAAACCAAAAGAGCAATAATAAATAGTTAAAGAGTAAAGACAATGGCTTAGTAGGCGTTTTCAACATCATTGAAGCTGTGAAGCTGGTAAAGGAGAAAGAGAAATTAAAAGCAAAAAAAGGCATACTATCGCCACCTAACGCTTAATGGCACTACCTAATAAACAGAAAAGCGGACAATCCGTTAAAGTCTCAAAAACGAAAATCGATAAATGGGATCGGTGAAAGGCCACACCTGACAAACGCATACGACTCCCGTTTTACCGTGTGACGGCGTGGAAATATTAGGAAGTGAGAAATGTGAAATGCTTCGAGATAAAGTGTTAGTATGTCACGGTTAAAGTTATGAAGGCAATAAATGACATGTTAAAAAAACAATTGAAAGATCACTATAGGAAGCTTTGCTGAAATGACGTTCAAGAGAAAAGGAAAAAAAGGAAATATCACGCGCACTAATCCCGGTTATAAGATAAAGTTAGATGGCATACCGGCCTGTAACGGCTCCGGTATAGCAAATGGTACACACAGGCTTCTAGAGCGCAATTTGCACATCTCGATACACGTCATCTGGACCCATTGCACGACGAGCAGACGCATACGCTGCTTGCAAGATCGTCTCGTTCGATCCAACCCTGAAGCAAAAATCAGGAGTTTATAGGATCATCACAAAAACGATTGAGTAAACAATTGTGTTTCGATAATATCAGTTGAGGGAAAGTCGTGCGCTGCTATACGAGTATATTTTGAGTATCTGCCATCTATGGTACAGAAGCATTGCCAGAATCGGGTAATCTTTCACAAGACCGTTACAAGTCTGTTTATAACAAAGTTTCACCCTCACGATAGGAAGAAAGAACCACTCTCACAAATGAATCACTCATCAATGAAATATTAGGGTGTCCGAATAGTTTTGAGAAAATTTCGCCTCTCAACTTCGAATGCATGTTGCTCGCGCCGCACAAAAGAAGAACTATAGATTAGATAGCAGGGAAAAGGGCATTGTTGACAGATCATTACTATAGCTGATCGGTATTTGAAGTGGTCGTTCGAAGTGAGTAATCGTACACCGAAGGATGTGCCATCGATAAGACCACCGGCTACTACACCTTTTCCAATACGAAACTAATCGCTTCGATACTAAGGATTGAAATGAAATATGTTGACTGATCGGCAGCAGTGACCCTCACTTGTCACCTACCATAACTGGCATGATCGCTTCTTCATAGAAGAGATTTGCTTCGGCGAAGTTTGTCCAAGCGAACGTACACTGTCCTCAAATACCGACACTGCTCTGGCCTCCCGTTAGAGCAATCTTGTTCAAAGTGGCAGGATTTGAATAGACGATCTCTACTTCCCAAACCGCCACCAGAAGTCACTTTAATCAGGACTCTTTGTCAGTATCGCACACCCTTGACTAAGCAAGAGTGTCGAGTGCGTGTCAGGGCTTACTAGAAGTGCTCTACTGTAAGCGGACGACGACATCAACCGACTACATCATTGGATAAGAAGTAGATGTCACGTGGAAATCCACACAGGAAATCGTTCCGCCTAACAGCGGACGTAAGGCCACAGCCCGCTAAAAAGCGAGGCGCTCAAGCAAGAGAGGCATGAGCTCATTTTCCTCTGCTCAACCGAGTGTTTTACTATGCAATCCTACCAGTGTGCAATGCGATGAACGCGAGAGTATTTTGTTACCGACTGAAAGAGTGGTGTTTCGAGCCCCCATTTCACACAAACTAGAAGGAAGTTTTCGATTAAGTCGGATACTGCTCGATCCCCTCGCGCGGGGACGAATGAACTGGAGGAACTTGATACAGCCTGGCTACCCCGATCCCCACATCTTCACCTAACCTCCATGACTGCGTTACTTTCAGAAGCCCATACGCCTGCTCTACAAGGAAAAAATTCACCAACTATCGAGAAATCAAGTAGATGGTAGATGAATGAATTGCGTCACGCCTCTCTTCATATTGAAGGAGTAGCATCAATGCCCAGCCGAGTCGCTGATGGGCATTGTGGCTGAGAAGGTCCAATAATTTGATCACTGATCTAAGTTTATTGCTGTAGTTATGTAGTATTGCAAAAATTCGCCCATTTTTCTCAAAACTTTTCGGACACCCTAGCTGCAGACTATTTTTATTTTGCGTTTATATCATCATTCAGTCACAAATCACGCTGTTTTGTAGATAAGACAGACCGTTCGGAAAATGTTTGGTACCCACTGCCAAGAATCACAGATTGGTTGGTTCAGTTAAGTCCTCTCCCTGAGTCCGATTTTTTACTGATATACTCCATCTTAAGTGCCCATTCTATTCACGAACAAATTTTTGATAACTGGCATCGAACGGACGGACATGACAGCAGCTGTGAACGCAATAATTTCGTTAGCTTCCTTTATGCTTTTCCCTTGTAGACTCTGTGAGACATCATCGCAAACAATACAATGCACTTGTAGGAGTACTGAACCATCGGTAAACCCCTTATCATCAATTAAAGGTGTATTCACATGGTAAGAGAAGAGAAACGGGTAAAAAACGACCCCGCTTTTGTTCTTGCGGGATGGGTAGTTATGATAGAATGCATTCTATCTTAACAAGTGTGGACAATCTCGCTGGGGGAATCCCACGGAATCAAAACCAGTACACAGGACAGAAGAGGGAGTTAGAGAAGCAGAGCAAATGATAACTCTGTATCATAAAAAGACAACGAAATTCCGAAAACCGTGTTGATATCAAGCGTTCCCTTAAAACATTCCGTGAACATTAGTATGTACGGAGAGTCAATTGCCTGCGCTCTCCCTTGGATCCCCTCTTGGGCGAAATGTTGAAACCTCAATGAAGACAATCCGATAAAAGTATGCAAGCACGTCATGAGCAGTCACGCTGAGTGAAATTGGATATTCTCTGCGCTGCGTCAGCTGAGAATGTGTTCAGCGTACTTAGGAAGCCCTTCGGCTTCGCTCATCCCTTATTGGACGTATCTTGCTCCAATGTGGATTGTTCATTGAATGATCGATCAATGATCATATGGAATACCATTAAGGGTGGCATGAAGGTTGATATGGGTCGTTAAGCTTGCTTGGCCGCGGCGGAGGCGATTTATTTGGTGCGCATCGCTGCTACACTGGCGCAGCAGCGAACGCGTCTTGCACTACGCGCACTATACAACCCATCTTTTGCTGACATTTTTTAGCGAACGATTTTTATGAATACCTATGCAAGGTGGCCAGCGATACAAGCCTAACGTGACTCCGTCCTTCAAGACGCCGTTTTGACCTTCGAAGAACCAGTGGCTCAAAAATTCGGCAAGTGATGGAATATCAAGAGGACGCGTGGAAACAATCAATTGCACTCAGTATTCTCCATCTGCCCACTAAATTTTGATTTTGACTGCCAATACCAGTGATTTTCAGAAAGAACCGAAAAAAACGACACCCAAAAGGTGTGAGGAAAAATATCGTTAAGGATTGTTCGTTTGCATTATTGCTTTGACGGTCCTTCCAACCTAAATGGTGCTGACACTACTCTGTCAACTTCAGCTATCATAGAAACGGTAAACATAGGCAGCAAACACGCTCTTATTAGGAAAAATCCAGACTACCACGATTAATTAATGACGGTAGTATGAAGCACGCTAGAATACATCAGAAGCCACTAAGTAAACACCGAAAGTGAACTAAAGATACAAACCTTAGCGAACGATCAACTCCGAATGGCTTGAGATGATAGATCAAATATTCGAGCGCATACATTAGATTTGAGTTGACGTAGTGGAATGAAATGGCGTAGTCTGCGAAAAGTTAATTTTCAACTTTTGTACTTGAACATTATTCAGCTTACAACACCACAATAGCCCTATGGTGGTCCATTTTACTCCACGAACTTGCTAACACTGGATTCCTGTACAGATATACAATTATATATGGATTGACACCTGACGTCGAAATTGAAGGGAAATGTGTTGTTCCTAGATTATTCCTGTTGGAGATTTTCAACGCACAAAAGATGAAGGTTCTCGACACAAGGAACCGAAGCAGCCTCTCACGGTCATATAGTTTTGTTGCGCCGATGGAATGACAGCGTGGTATAGCCAACCCATAACTATTATAACTACAATGAGAAAACATCTCTTGCATCATACGCGAATATATGATATGTGATATTACACAAGGGAAAGTATGCGAAGAAATCAAAGCACAAAATAAAAGTTCAGAGCACTCCTTAGCAAAAAGGCTGTTCGCTTCAAGACTGTCAGCTCATATATTGATATTGTGCACCAGAAAGGCAATTGAAGAAGTAGGGTGAATGTGACGGAACTAATCTACACCTTCGAATCAAATTTATAATTAACTCACCAGAACAACAGTCAGGACCTTGATCCATCGGATAGTATATGTACGACCAGAACCAGAAAGATTTGTCAACGTGACCGGGTACGATGTGATGTTCTGGCACGAATGGCATGAATCTGTAACCAATAATGCTTTCGCAGTAGACATATCCGGAAAAACATCACCTTTTCTCATTTCACTCCGTGAATGTCTTATATCTCTTCGGAATGAACAAAACCTCCTTTTACATTGTGTATAAATACACAGCCGCTTAGAACAAACTCTCAAAAACCGATTAAGCCTTGGAAGGTTAATCTTGACACTCATTAGCACTACTTCTACTCAAGCAGTATTTTAGGAGGAGAGCAATATTTTGTATCAACCCAGGGTTTCCGTGCATTATCGCACTTTTAAGATACGCTAGTAAAAAATACAGTTATTGATCAAAATTTTTACTAGCGATGACTGTATATTGATGAACATTAACCAAGTATAGCAGCGGACAGGTATTACTCCAATAAAGCTTACCAAATCACACTTTGAACCATTCGGTATAGTTGGAACTAGGAATAATCCATACCTATGATGCTTTTCCCCGTCTCGTGAATCACCCGCCACGACACCAATTTTTTCAAGGCATTTCCCCATTTCAGCGTCTTCCGCTCCACCATGATTCGGAGAGCATTTCTTCGGATCGGTCAAACCATCATTGACAAACCTGCATAAATGTGTATTTGTAATTCAACAACTACAAACACATTTTTTGGAAATAATAATGAAAAAATATTTCACGACATGATGTACTTTTTCAAAGCTTCTCGACTCAGAACGTAGCCTGCGCCGCCACTATGATAGCCTTTTTTCGTAAAAGGTTTGAATTTACAGCCGAAATGAACTGGTTGATCAGGCGAATGAGCAAGAAGCATATATCTGAAACAGTCAAATGAAAACTCCCCGATTTAAACCTCAAAGTAACGAAAGAGGGGGAATTTGGAAGAGAAAAGTAATCACCTTAAATTTTCCAATACTACGTATGTATCATCATCAGCTTTAAGGAACCAATCGTATTCGTTCTGAAAATACCGACACCTTAAATGTTTGCCGAATAAAATCTCTGCGACGTTGAACATAACTTGTAGTGTAGCATGCCATGGCATGCCTGGCGGTATAGCTTAGTGAGAGAGATTGAAAGGAGTGAAAGCAGCGGGGCAAAAGAATGAAAAACAGATAAGTGCAATCCCAATGCATTAGAAATGAAAAGAGCAGCTAAAAACTCAATTTTGGGAGAAATGTCATATAGAACTGAGAAAACAGTTGCTCTTAAACATGGGGCTTGAGAGCAATTACTCGAAAAAAAAAANAAAAAAAAACAGTCCCTACTCAAGGAAAAGTCTACTACAGAGCACCTTACATGAGAAAGAAATAAAATTATGTATGACAAAAATAACTGATAAAGCTAACAAAACTGATTCAACCAAGCACAATCGGATTTTTCATACCAAATAGTGGTCGTGTAAATATTTGAAGGCCGCTTTCGTCTTTGCCCAGAGATGATCTCGTCCCTCAGAAATATTCAGATTGATTGCGGGAAGGTTAGGATCGCTTTCAGATGACATGAATACATACCTGAAAGAGCACTGTTAAAGAGATCATTTTTATTCAAACCCTACTGTGCAAGAAATTACACGAACTTGTTGCAACGTTTGGCCCACGTAGCTTTCACATGTTTCGCTCTCTTGTCGTGGTTTTGCTTTCCCGTGAGGATCCAACAAAAAACTCGAACCTTCTCAGCCACTATGTCAGCTACCACACGTTCTCCTATAGAAAAAATGGCGAACATTAGAAAGGGAGGAAATACTTGCTCAAGAAATGAGTTTCCCAAGCATAATTTTCTTGACAAAAAGTAGACAAGTACTTTGCGAAGTAGAGCAGGTGGGTTTTCGTAGTACCTCTGGTTATGCACAAATTTAGCAGTTGGGTCAACGAATTTTGCTAATCCCTGACTCGGTTGCTTGAAGCGCTAATGTTACCAACAGCATCGTGGACTTAAAATGCGCAGATAACCAAAGTTATGAATAGTACTCATTTAGTCGGTATTTGAGGTCACGAAAAAGAGCCGTTTTGCACGACAAATGGGTGAAAACACAAAGAACTTGAAGGAAAAGCTTTTGGCGAGAAGAAAAGCAGTGTCGAGGTGTAACTTTGTAATTCGTAAGCGACGACGTTTGGATATTTAAGCATCAAAAATATCTTGAAAGTAAAGAAAATCCACTTATGAAATCTAGGAAGTAGTTCAAAATAATCTAACCGATATGATCATGAGAGGAGCCATTCCCATGGAATTCAAGAGCTTCGTTGGGTGCGTCCTCGTCGTCCAGCTCACTCTCCGCATGCGCGTCATGATGTCCATGCCGATGACCTCGTAACGGTGGTACACTACCCGTTGAGTAGTACTTAATAAAAGTGGTTAGGCCCTCTTGCATTCCGGGAGGATAAATGTGTTGTCATTAAATAGCAAAACAGCAATGTCTCCCCGGTTCATGGAAAACATCAGCGATTCTCAGTTCACTCGAACTAGAAATATTAGCTGATTCATAGTCTTTAAGAAGCAATATTTCGCTGTCTCCGTCGAGCAAAATAGATAATAAAGGCTTCCTAACTCGTCAAACGGATGGCATACAAAAACAAATTAGCAACAAAAGCTGGCTATTAACTTATTAAGAGAAACAAAAGGAGACTTGCGATGGCAAACTTCTCGGGTTCTTTTTATATTTCAATGGCTAACTGAGTATAAAGTTGGCATCGTTGTGTGTGGCCTTTGCCTAGACCAAGACTCTGAAGCTCAGTTGGAAAAACTCTGTGATCGATAAGAAATTCTTTTGGAACTGTGGAAAGACAGTAACGGCTAATATTCCAGTTGGAGGAATTGTGCATGGCCTCAAATTGCCAGTTCATTATTCTGAGCTCGAAAGCATTTAGGGTCACGAGAAAAAGTAGAAAACTTACCGGATATAAGCCATTGGCCCGTGGACCAGCGATGAGCGACAAGCAAAGTCCTATGACAACGCCCACGCCAATGTAGACGATCGGAGACCCTCGAGGCAGCTTCATATCACCGCGACATCTGAACTATCAAATGAAGAGAAACGAAAACACATCACACCTGAATAATCTGTTGAGAATTCGATGAATACATCACAAACAAACGTAATCAAAGAGCGATATTGAAAATGGAAGAGGTCCAAAAGATCCTTGTCACTAATGAAATTCACGAAATTCTCTAATATGCATCTACGACCAGTGGATTCTCTCGGAAGTATGACCCAGCGATTCAGAAGTATAAATCGGAATAGTGAGTGCAGTTTACCATTACATAAACAGAGATCCTCTCAAAAGTCCGCAACGCCACAGCGAACTTTTGCGGACAATGTCGTCGATATAGAAGATTCTCACATTTCACTTTATTGAGGCTTCAAAAGGAAGCGGCTTACTAAAAATATCTTGTTAATCAAATTATGGTTGTTAATGAGCGGAGTTGGAGTAGTGGCAAGTGGCGCATTTCACACAGGCATGGTCACGGGTTCGGATTTCGGACCGATATCCGCTTCGGCCAGCCAACCAAGCCGTCCATCCCTCCAGTGTCAGTTACTTGGTACCAGTCTCGTCTGGAAACATAAAAGCACTGACTTGTACATGGTCTGGCCACCGCAAGTCATTGTATAGGTCATATACGCCCTCATTACTCCACTACGATTGTGAATGGATGTTGAGTGCGGGGCGCATCACTCAGAAGAAATTGATTAACGCTCCAAGGCTTTATTCCATAACCTTTTGTAGTTCTGAATATTTCAGAGTTCGTTGTATTAGAATTTGAAGCAGCGGTGTTCTGAATTTGGACAATGCAGAAAGCAAACTGCCAAGCGAATCGGTGGGATAACGGGTCGTCCTAAACGAGGCGTTACCCCATCCGTGACGGAGTGATGCTTCTCTGAAGACTTCTTTGAGACGAGGATCTGGGAGAACAGTAGGAATGATGTGCGTGAACAATAGGGCTAATAAGCAGGCAACAGGGCGCTACCAGCAACATCGTAATACGATGACGAATGGGAGAAAGACACTTCCCACCGAATACGCGGCACATGAATACGGGATCGATCCAGGCTAACAAACATATGTGCTATGGTTATGGGATTACTCATCCATGTAAAAAGAACCACTTGCAGATGGTTTTTCCTCGATCATCCAGAAGACCAACTCCGAAAACCCTGCAGAAGGGAAGAGTCCAACTAAAGACATTTTTCCATCAAAAACATTAGTGCAGTTGGCATCCTCAGCGGGAAGACGGACAGTAAGAACGGTTTTCTGTATTCGATTTGCCGCACGCGGCTGTCGCGGGCCATTTGCCTCGTTATAACAGTTCTAGCGTACTTCATACAGCTCAATCGCTGGGCAATTATTACTTTTGACATGCTTCTATTGTTAGTTATTTTGTTCATGAAGTTCTTACTTGCTGCTGCATTCTGCTATAATCCTTCGCGCGCGTCGTCTCTCTCGCCGCGACGCGGCGATCCCGTTACTGCCCCACAACCCCCTCAGCGCACTACGATGTGGAGGGCTGCATTCTAGGGCCACCCTCCGGTTAGATATTAGAAAATCCAATCATCTGTCTACACTCTCAGATAATTCAACCCAGTACGAGGGAGGCTTCGCTAAGCACCTCGATCCAGTCCATATTGAGAGCTTTCTCTGTTCTCAAGTTCCTTTTCAAATTCTTGCTATGGGAACGTTACATTCACCACCACTGCTTTCATCTGATGCTGTAGACGTCGGCCGTGGCTACTATCGTGATCGCTCTTTCGAGAAGATGACGAATCTCCTAAGATATTATCTCGCCCGTAGCTTCGCAACATTTTCGGCTGTGTTTTTTTCCGGCTAACTCATTCCAAAACGACAAACACGATCAAGATTCAGGGATATGATCTTTTCTTCAAAGAGATATTGTGACCGAGGGAGATCAAGTTCTGTCAAAATCAGGCAGGCAATAAAGATGAAAGAATAGAATGACGATCAGCCCATTCGGGGAGAAACGATTCAGAATGGTGTTGCTAGAAATTCAAAGAACGTTCTATCTCTCTGTTTGAAAGCAAGAATTGAAAAAAAGTTTCAGTAACCTGATAACGTTGTTCTCCCAAGGGCGGCCATACGTGCGAATTTGTTATTCTATGAAGGAGTTCGAACCCAACGTTAACAACTTCGCCCTTTGAATCCATGTGAACGACTGTATTACAATATCACATGCACTGAGTTCATCATGTGGTTCACCTGCACTTCAAAGTCAACCATACCCGCAGCGTTTGGATGGTGTTTGGGAGCCTAGTACATATGAACTCCCGTTGTTGCTATGTTTCAGTAGGGTAAAGCCCATCAACTGAGGAAACTATCCTATGCCAAGGACCCGCCTACTAATTCACCTTGCACACGGTTTTCTGAACGTTGTATTGCTTATAAGGATACTTACTATGGTGAATAAGCTATTTTATGCCGTCGAGCACATCGATTTGGCCCAAATTACTATCATGAGAAGGGTTTTACGGTAACAGGAAGAAAAGATTGGAAAGATCTAGACGTTCGATTAATCGTTCCTTTCATATCATCAAAAGACTACGCCCTATGACACTGAAATTGAAGAATGATCGTTTGTTTTCAATAGAAAAAAAAAACAAAGAAAATAAATTCTTGTGAAAACTGAATTTCAATGAGAAAAAACCTCGAAATGGGTTGAAACTGAAAAGCTCGTTGTTAGAGAAGTATCCTGACTACTACAACTACATAGTGAATTATGGGCTAGGCTAGAGCCAAAACAGGATCGAGTGGATTCCTTATGAGATTTTATTGAGAAATACAAGAAAGGAAACGAAGAACTGCTCATACTAACCATCTGAAGCCAAAGGAATGAAGCGCTTCCTTAAAAAGGACGGGCTTCGATCACAGGGGTTCTGTGAATGGGATGCGACGGGAATCGACAATATTCATTTGTTCAGAATAATAAATCAAATGCAGTGGGACTGGGAAAGTACATCGCAATCAACATTTGGCATAAAATTCTGGGCTACATAGGTCTAACCAGGTCTTCCATTTCTCAGGTGTACCAGGGTAATTGATTGGTACTAGGGTTGCTTGAAAAGACAGAAATATTGACTTCATATTGAATGGTCCTCAGAGGTTATTGAAGAGGAAAAGGGCGTATTAATTATGGTCCTGGCCGGAGGAGTTGTGGAGGTGACACTCCTTTTTGAAGCGCTTACTGATGTCTCTGTCGTGATCAGAACGATTTCTTGGTTGCACTTAGCGGTAGTCCCTAGTGGTTTTGGGGAACGTTTGGTTCTCCATAACCACTAGGGTCTACCACTAAGAGCAACCAAGAGATTGTTGTGAAGGATTACTCAGCCTAATTGAGAGATTAGGGATACGACAGGTCTTCTTTGGTGGGCCTTTATGCATCGGTGGTTGACAGGCAACGGGATGGTCTAGACGACTTACAGATAAGGTTGCACTCTCAGCTGAGTCAATACTACCAAGCATGGAATTCCACGTCCCCAATCTCCGCCCCCTCTGTTAGAAAAAGCCTCCATCGACAGCTATACATACAATGCCAACAAGAATACACGTTCGATTTCAGACAAGCAAGCGACAAGCAGGGAACCAGCAAGATGCCTGAGCAAGAAATTTCAAAAAACCGGTGTTGATCTATACTTTTGCTGTGAGCCACACATTTGGCTAACACTCTGAATCGAAAAAAACCTCTTGAATGCTTAGTTGGCCTAGGCAATGGGTTTCGAC